ATGTTATCCGCATTAGCTAAGGTATGATTGAGGAGAACATTGGCTCTGGAGCCAGGCAGCCGGGATTCCAATCCAAGCCCCTACACACACAAGCCTTAGAACAGAGCCCGACACAGTAATTGTGCAAATTTTAGCTGCCGCTGCTGCTACTACTATTACTCACACTGAAATTTTATTTCTAATACATGGTAATTGAATAAAAATTTATCTGGCAATTTTATATAGCAAGATAGCCAGCGGGCTCAGAAAGGTAGAAGCAGGGTGTGAAGCTAGGTAGCATGACTCCTTACCAGGATTCTGTGTGCTCTGAACAGGCAGGTTTTATACATATCCACTGCCTTAACCACCTTAAAACATTAGAACGCATAATCAGGCCTCCATCTACATTCTTTATATTGCCTGCATCCAAGGGAAAAACTCTGAATCCTGTCTAAGGTTCAAATTCATACCAACATGCCTGATGAACGAAAACATTCCATTGTTACAAAAGCCAGGGCATCAAATGTGACTGAGAAAAATCTAAATCAACCAAAGGAAGGCACTCTCAGTAACTAAGGAGTATGGCGGGGTGGGTCGGACTCAGCACCAAACCTGAGTGTCAGCGAGAATGGGGCTTTCAGAGATACTACACTTATGCCTAATCCCATTCCCAGCTTGCTAGACTGGCTCTGTGCTCTTGAGAAGACAGCTGTAGCTGAAGGAGCTGTATCACCTGTGACATAAAAAGCTTTGCAAGGAGGGTAAGGTACCAACCAATATATACACACAGATGCCAGTGATTCCTAAAGGAAACAGGGCTTTATTTAGGACCAAAAATAAGGCCTAGGAAAACATGGAATACATATTTTCCAGAAATACTAAAAATAACAGAAGGGACAAAACTTTGAAAAGACTAAAATTTCTGCAGATCAATTGAGACTAAATTCAAAGCAGAAAAATTGGAGACAGGTGTACAATTCCCCAAATACATAAAAAAAAAGTCACAATGTCAGAGTAGAAGGCTCCAATTTCATATTTTAGCAACATGAAATGTGTATTAATGCCCAAAACAAGAATTCTGAGAAATAATTGCAAAATGAAACATTTTCTNATTTCAATAAACCTATGCACTGGTGACGCACAAATATTTATTTCCAGAAATCTCTTGATTCCTAGATCCAAATGCCTACCACATGACCATCAGACACAAATGCCACAACTCAGTAGACTCAAAACTGAAATCAGTATCTCCATTCCACCACAATAAACCAAAAATCTCTCTTCTACTCATATTCTCAAAATTGGTGACGATTACTACTACGCACCACATTACCCAAAACTCTTAAGAAATGTGACTCCTTTCTTCTTCTCACCTCACAAAGGCAACAGTGATGCAGTATGCCACACCTCCTTAACATCTTTTTCCCTCTGTCACTGTTGTTTCTGCCCCTGCATTAACTCAGACACTTGCTATCTCCTCTCATCTGCACCATTTAGTAAAACAATCTCTGATCTGATTTCTTTAACTTTGTTTCCTCCGTCATAGGTTTCCTCACAAAAATCTCTCCCTACCCTGGTGCCAGTGATCTTTTTAAAATGCAAATTTAATGTTACTCTGTCCCTATGTCCATGTATAACTGTAACAAGAAAAGTACTAAATTAATCTTCAATGTGATGTCCATTAAATATGGCAAAAAATCACAGCAAACTAAAAAAGTTTTGGGTGTAGATTATATAGATATGGAGACAGAAAGGAGATTGTGGTGAGCTGGGAGTTGACGTGAGGGCAATAGGAGTGATTAATAGGTACAAGAGTTTCTGGGGGAGTGGTGAAATATGAAACTGATTTGGTGATAGCTGCAGAAATCTATGAACATAATAAAAACCACTGAACTGTACATTTTAAATTTGGAATTAGATGGTGTATGATTAAATTTCAATACAGCTGTTAAAAAACAGCATAGGAATTAAAAATAAAAAATGCTATTACAGAAATATATTTGTCCATTTGGGCTGGCCNAGTTTGACAATGTTTTATGAAACTAAACATGCAATCACCCTACAACACAGCATTGTACTCTTGGGCATGTATCCCAGAGAAATAAAAACTTATGTTCACACCAAAAAAACTACACACAATGTTCACAGCATCTGAATTCATAATAGTCAAAAACTGGAAACAACCCAAATCCACACCATGGCACACTACTGGCAATAAAAAGAATAAACACTGATACATGCAAAAGGGATGACTCTCCAGGGAATTGTGCTGAGTGAGAAAAACCAACCTCTAAAGAAAATATGCTGTGATTCTATTTGTACATTCCTGAAATATCAAAATTAAAGAAATGAAGAACAGATCAGTAGTGGCCAGAGGTCAGGGAGGGGGTGGAGAAGGCGTGTGGGCTTGGAAAGGGCATCAAGAGATCTTTGTGGTGACAGCACTGTTCTGTACTGATGTATCAATGTCAGTATTCTGGCTGTGATACTGAACTATAGTTTTGCAAGATATTATTGGGCTAAAGTGGATTAGAGTACACAGGGTCTGACTGTATTATTTCTTACAACCTAATATGAATTTACAATTACCTCAAAACAAAAATTTGAATTAAAAAAATTTAAGTGGAATCAAAAAAGAGAAAAATGGAATTGTCTAGGTAGTTTTACCTTTGAGGGGTGGAGATTATGGATGATTTTTATTTTCTTTGTACTTTACTGTATTTTCTAAAATAGTCCAATGAATATGTATAATAGAAAAGTTGAATACAGTTTTAAAATATCTCTGAGACTCATATATTACTTTTACGTGAGGCCTAACCTCATTATAAATCACACTGTATAAAATAATTTAGACAAACTTGCTCCCACTGAACTAAGAACAGACATGAAGAGAATGAGAATTCTGATTACAGGAGTAAGAGAAAGACAATGTCAGCAGAATGGAAGAGTGGAAGGTTTTGAACGGCCAAAAGACTGTGTAAGATCACCATCTGCCTGGATGGAGGACATCAAAATGAGAAAGGAGCAGAAAAGGCTAAAGAATACTAAAAAAGCCTCTGTACACATAGCAATTTTTCCTAGACCCTGGTGATGACTTTCATTTCTCCCCTTTTTTAATTTAACATCAATTAAGTGCC